CGCAGCGCGCGCGGCCGCCGAGGGCTGTCATCTCTCGTCCGTGGCGTTTGTGCCGTGTCTCTAAGAGGGAGAGCGGTTTCCAAAATGGGGAACCCCAAAATGTGAGGTTGAGTATTATCTGAGCAGCGGCTGGAAAGAGCTGAGTGGAAACTTGATTTTTTTTTTTTTTAAATCTCTCTGTGAAAAAGCTGAAAACCTATTGAGACTGGAGAGTGAAAAGTAAGTCTAGATGCTGCTCTGTGTCACCTGTTCAGCAACGAGCTAGATCAGTCGTGCTACTTCGGTAAGCCCATCTTAAAAAAAAAAAAAAGGCAGATTGAAATGTTCAAAAAAGATTCTCCATGATTCCAACGGAATTATTTTTCAACGCACCAGTCTAAAGAGGGGGACCCTTCCTCACAAAAAGGGGTTTTAAACCCCCCAAACGCCTTACAAGCTAAAAGGTGGTTGGAGATATTAAGAAAATAAGGGTTTTAAATGGCCCTTACTTCGGTGGTTTACTTGTTCCAACAGGTAAAGGTTGTAGCCAATAGGATTTCACTTTAATGACCAGCGACCACATGGAGATGTTTTAGTGCTACTCTGCCTTTCCTCAGAAAGGATCCTTCCATGTCTCTCTCTCTCTCTCTCACACACAGACACACACACACACACACTCACACACACACCATGAATGGCTACTATAAGGCTTTATTAACTCACATTCATGTCATTTTTTTGAAACGCCGGATTTTATTTATCAGCTCTAGGTGGTTCCATCCTCGGTGGAATAAAACTGCTTACAAATATTTGGAAAGGAAAATAAACTTAAGTCCTTAAATTGCCACAAAGGCAATCCCTCTGCAGGTGAGGTTTGCCTTGTCGCATTCATTTTTAACTCCTTGGTGCCCAAGACTCAGAAGAAAAGTCCGTTGCCGGCAATGGACGTACCTAGTAAAGATGGGAAGCAACCTGGGAATTTTTTTTTTTCTTTCTCCTGGATGAGTGCACATCTTTCGCAGGAGGTTTTATCAGTTGATTCAGACTGAGGTACATCTTAAGGTAAATGGTCAAATGCAGGCGTGACATAAATTAAATCCACCGACTTAACTTCCCACACTTGTATCTCTAGTAGCTCTAGGAATGATGTCTGAAATCACTTTGGACTCAACAGAGACTTGGTAACATATTATCCTGTTTATTTAGCGTGGTTTTAGCTGTGTTGTCTTTGGATCAACCCATTTGATGTCCGGAACATGACTTCTCTGGTTATTCCATATTTAAAATGTGTTAGGTATTTTAAGAGGCAAAATTATTAAATACTAAAGATCAAAGGATTAATTCGTAACTTTATTATAATACATTAGCTTCAATACATCCAAACCAAAAGACTGTTAGGTTGATTTATTTTTATATAAGCATGTTTATTTTGATCAGATGTTTTAACTTGGAATTGAAAAAAAAAATACATTTATAAGATGTTTTATAAGATGTGTAAATAATAGAACTGTATTTATTACTACAGTAAAGATTCAGTAATACAAAGAACCATGATAATAAACCATGTACAGTGGCATATTCTTCCATATATATTGGGTTTCTCTGCCGATTTTCTTTAAATTCAGTAACTGTATATAATATATGTAAATGTATAGTACTTGTAAATAGATTCCAAACTTGCTTTTCTATTGGGTATAAAATTAAGAAACTTGTAATAAAATATGTGACTATAAAACAAAATATTTTTAAATCTTTTATTGAGCCTATAGGCAAATATATGGTCTCCTAAGTGTTTTTTATTTTTGATGTGTAAATACATTTGCTAAGTATTTACACTTCAATATGTTAGATATTTTGGACTTACCTTAAGAAGTAAATCTTTCACAAGAACAAAACAAAATACCTTTACCAAACCCTGGACGGTTTTAACTGTGGCTGATAAGCCATTTTGTCGTGACAAACGACTCAGTGAGGTTGATTGTCCTCCGTGATAATTGGATTTCATAGCCAGAACCTATTTCTTGTGCCATGTAAAAAGAAAAAAAATAGAAATGCATAAATAACAAATGAATCTTAAAATTATTTAATATGAACACGACTTTTCTATAAATTTTTTCTTTAAAGAAAACATGTTGCTTTTTCCTCTGACCTTTCGGTGAGCTAACAGCAGCCTGCCTGGGCTCACTTTCCAGCCTCACCTAGGCGTTCTCCTATTGCTCCTTCTACCCTAAGCCCTTTGTTTTACTGTCCCCAACTTTAATAAATGTACTTGCAAATTAAATATATATATATTTCTACAAATGATGTATTATAGAATTGTACACTTGAAACCTACATAATTTTATTAACCAGTGTCACCCCAATAAATTCAATTAAAAATTTTTTTTAAAAAATATTACATGACCATGTCAAGGTCAAAACATAAGGACATGTGACTCCCAGGGCACAAAGAAACACACTGTTCCCCTTCAGTATCTTCCAAACATAAGATATGAAGTGATTTTTCTACACACCTTGGGCCAGACCCTCCCAGCTTCAGTGGTGATTCCTGATCTGCCATTACAGGTTATAAAATGAAATCATCAAGTACTGGTTGGAGGCCCAGCCTTATTATTAAGATCAACCCATATTTACTAAGGACCCTCGGCGCACCTAGTGCTGAGTTTCCCACCCATCCATCAGATATAACCACATGCTTCAACCTACCCTAGTTAACAGGCTTCCAATGGAGTCCTGTACAGTCCACACTTGGTCTGTCTCCAGCTGAAACAGGGACTATAACACAGTCTCACTCCTCCTAATCTAACTCCTCTTAGGCAGCAAATACAAAAGTTGCCTCCAGAGCAATGGAGTTCAGTTTTTCCTCTCAACATACTTGCTTTTGGATGCCCAAAATTAGGAACATGTTCCAGAAGCCCACCCCTTTTGTTCCCACTCAAGAAAAAAAATCAGTGAATTAATTTTTCAAAGGGAAAAAAAACAAATCTACTCAAACTTCTTTCTTTAAAATCCCCAACCTCTGTTACTTTATTAGCAAAATTAGTTATAATACACCTCACACCAAACACTGCTCTGTTAACTGTCTACTAAATGTTCTCCACTATAATACAGTAAATCAGAATGACTGAAATTACACTCACAAATAAATAAATCTACAGTGAGAAGGAGAAAAGATATAAATATTGACAGACTAAAGAACAGCAAAAACAAAAAATCTAAAGAACATAAACTAGTGGACTAGCCTAGAGTAAGTGGTTAATAATTTTTTATGCTTTCAAAAATGGATTCATTGCCCCGGTTGGTGTTGCTCAGTGGTTAAAGCCTCAGCCGTCCCCCCACGAGGGTCACAGGCTCAATCCAAGGCCCGGTCCGTCGGTCGGGGCACGTGTGGGAGGCAACCAATCGATGTGTCTCTCTCCCATCCATGTTTCTCCCTCTCCCTCTCTCCCTCTCTCTCTAAAAAAAAAAAATCAGTGAAAAAAACATCCCCAGGTGAGGAATAGTGAATTGATTAATTCAGTCAACACAAATTGCGTGCCTACCATGTGCAGTGTTCTATGAACGTGGAATAACAAGACAAGGCCTGGAATGTCCATTCCAGTGGGTGAGAGCTACACAATACGCAAATATAAACAAGGAAATACCTGAAAGAAACATGAAGGAAATGAAAGGGAAGAGCATGACAGTGAAGGCTCGTAACTTTAGACACAGAGGTCAAGAAAGTTCTCTCAGGAAAGGCACCTACTAAATAAACTAAGATCTCGTTCAAAACGGAGCTACCTTTGCTTTATCATGCGACCAGTTCCATCAATAAAACCCATCATTATTAGTCCCACTATTCATATGTTACCTACAACAAACTTCTTTGAGTGACATTTTAATATAAAAATACATTAAGTGGCTGTTATTACATGTATTCTTTTTCTTACAAGTGTTACTGGAGAAAACCATTCTTATACAAAGTAGAAAACATCTTTTCATTTTGTTTTGGCCAAAAATAGAAAAACATGGCAGTGAAAGGTAATAAAATTAGCAACACCTTGTTCATTTAGAACCAGAAAAGCTGTAACATCTGAAAAAATAACAATGTATTGCTTTTTTTTGTTGTTAATCTTATCATTACATGTAGCTCGGGGGCCTATTAGCTTCGCCTGGGCTCACTGTGATCGTTCTAGCTCCATTCACGTTCTTCAGAATTCGAAAGTTTTACTTTACAGTCAACTCTGTCAAGAAAAGAGACTGTGTCCCTTCAAGCCACTAAACACCAACAATTTTCTCTCTGAGGCTACAGAGGCCCTAACGTAGTTAGGTTATGGTTGTGTTTCCTTGTAAGTGAAGCGGTCAGGGGCTCTGCAACGGCACCCCTGTTTCAGTGTCTTTTTGTGAACATTTCTGAAGATGTTGACCTTAGATTCTACAGTGACTCATTCATCCCAAACACAAGCTCTAGTGTGTCTGACCCTTGAAGCCAGTTGGGTAAGATGATAACAACGCTTTAGCTTGTTTGGATTCAAAAACTGGTGGAAAATAGATGTGATGAGCCGGGAAGCATTGTGGAATGTGGGTTTTCCAACTCTAGTCACATGAGGACATGACTTCCTATTCTGGTTACTACATTTTAAGTGGGACATTGAAAACATGCCACTCCATGAGGACAGTGAATCGAATGATATGGGGTAGGGAAATAACTCACCAAAA